GTTTAGTTTCTGAGCCAGTACGTCCTATGTCAGTCAATGGCTTCGCTCGCGTCAAGACTGGAATCTAGGGTCCAGGACGGGCGTGGCAACTTTGGCTGACTTAATCTGATTGGGCAGGAATACAGTCTACTACCCATGGGTGGATCCTCCATCTCCGTGCTGAGAAAAGGCGTTCAGGTAAGACAACGCCCCTTCTACTTGCAAAGGTTCCTATAGAGCAGGGATAGAGAAGGATGACCCTTTTATGATTTATGGACTTCAACTCCCAGAATTCCTGAGCCAGCCATGCTATAACCCCACCTCTGCTATAGAAGAAGATACAAATGAATTTAGAACCTGTCTAATACATTTATAGTGCATTTAGGAATAGTGCTGTTTTCTTTCTGCTCTGGCTCTTTGGATCCAACCCCCATGACTTTCTGTCATCTGTTTTTCAGTATACAGCTTACATCTGAAGCTATTCTGCTCTCCATCTAAGGAACAAACAAAAGAAAACATGTTAAAATTGTAAAACAGAACACTGTTAGAATGCTACCCAAAGTAGAAGGATGGTGGAAAAGAGCATGGTTGTAATCACCATCATATTTACAAGACTGCTATACTGGAATAGAAAAAGATAAACGCTAATTCTTTGTTTGACTTAAAGTGTAGTTAAAACATTTTGGTCTAGAGTAAGCGTGGAAATTTATCTCTCCAAACAGAACTTTCAAGTTGCTGATAGTAATTTCTCATCTAGTAACTAATAACTGGTAACTAATATTCAGCATTGTGCAAAATTGTAAGACACTTGATATGAATACAGTACAGTTTTTGTAAGTCATACATCATTGTGCACATGCCTCTGAATGCATGGGTACCTGCAAGTTTTTGGGAAGGAGTGGGTAGAGAGCTACAGAATAGGTATGTTTACAAGAATAAAACCCGAGAACAAAAACCAATAACTTCCCACTCCCCTGGAGACAAACAATCAGACCAGCCACTTGGCAGGCTCCATATCGTTCTGAGGTCCCCGGGCTCATTGGCAGAATACGTGGCTAGCATATACATGGAATCTATGGTGATATGTTTTGAACTACCGTAGTTACTTTGCTAGAAACGGAAATATGTAATTGCACTCTTTCTGCAAGCACAGTGAACATGGACATGAAAGTAAAATTTAGCTGTCGGAACATATTTCTTACCAAATTTAGTAAATATTATATTTTGCTTATTTTGTGTATCTCAAAATCTGTTAAGGCATTCTGTTATTTTCTGTGAAGATGGATGCATAGAGAACTTGTATCTTTACTGAAAACAGCTACTTAAATGCTGTACTCCCCACCTTTTTTCAGAACAGTGATAAATATGTGCAAAAATGCCACTGAAGAGTCAGATTTCAGCTGGTAGTAGCCATGGCCAAAAAAAATTGGCAGTAAAAACTGTATCAGTGAAATTAGGAAGGTTTGTTGGAAGCATGCTGCCAGGAGAAATTGTAGGAGTCAGAGATGTTCCCACAAGTTCCTATGCATCTTTGGCTTATGTTCTAAAAAAGAAATTGGGTGCTTAGTAGCAATGTATTACAGTATATTAAAGGCCATATGCTTAAAGTGATATGTTGTTCTTTGGTCAACTAATTACTTAAATATCAATTTTTAAAAAGCTTAACTTATTCCCATGTTCCTTCAAAACAGTTCAAAGTATTTGATCAATACAGCAATAACACAAAAGGAAAACAGACCAGACAATTTAAAAGAGCAAAATAAATTCACACTGGATACACATTTCACCAACTGTATCGATAGTCATATTTAGGAATATATATTTATTAAGATTTAATTCTAAGAATATAAAATACTTGAGAGTATCCTCATGAGGTCTATGTATATTTCATGGTGACAAGTCACCATTATTTGAAAGAAGCATGGTTTTTTGTATATTTTGTATATATTATTTTTTTATTTTCTGTGAAATCAAACAATGTACTTATTTTCTATTAAATTATAGAAGTAAATACCCTGCGGTTGTTATAGATAGTTAAAAGGTCCAGTTTCAGCCAATAGAGCTAACTTCATACTCATCGGAGTACATGTATACAAAAGTGCTTAGTATGTGATAATATTATTCCTCTTTTATATTTCATGACTAATCATGCAGGTTTCCAGAGTACAATTCTTTCTTTGTCTGTCAAGCCTAGAATTTCAGTTAGCCCAGTAATTTTTAAATTTATTATTCTCAAACTACCAAAAGTTACCATTTTTATATCTTTAATCAGAAGATACTTTTTCATATTTTAGCAGTGGCACATTTTTCAGTGAAAAATTGTCAATCTGTCATAAAATAGGGAAGGCCTACACATCATTCTTTAAACTAATTATATATATATAATTTCTTTCACTAACTATAAACATTAAAAGTAAAATACATATATCAAAATATTAATATTCAAAGTTCAAAACCTAATTTTTTTGAACCCCTAGAATTTTCTGTACCCAAAACCTTATCTTACTTTTTGTTATTTAAATTCTCAAAAGTTATAAAACTTTTAAAGTAAATCTTCATATTCTAATATTAAGGATTAAAAGCCTTCACTCACCCAGTGTTTCCAATCTTGTCATTCCAAGGATTCCTTAAATCCATTGTCAACTTCCAAAATAGTTAGCAAAGGAAGTGTAGTATCCTGGAAAGGCTTCACTTTGCAGCTGGAGAAAAATGATGAACTCCCCCATCTCCTAATTCCCCATCCCCACCTCAAGATTACTGTCCTGTGACCTTTTTGTGAGGAAAAGAAACATCCATAAGGAGAAATAGCTTGGGCAATCTCATGTCATTCTGTTTAATCCATAGATGTTCAAAAGGAGTTGATCAATTTTGGCTCTTTTGTACGAAGCTGCAAATCAACAGCTTCATTTGTCTGTGGAGCTGTCTTCAATTGGCCATCTTTCCCCGGAAGCCTGGGTCATAATGGAACCATGAGCCATAATTTGAATCTTTTGTTGAATCTGTAAGGTGTCTTTTAACATAAATTTTTAAAATAGATTATGAAATAGCAACAACACTAAAAAAATAAGTCAACTATGAAATGACAAGGCAAAATTTCCAGTGGCATATTTGTATATGTATAGGTCTGCAGATTAATAAGATCACTTTCCATCCTTTTTGGATGTGGAATTTAGTAAAGAGAGAATTTATATTTATAAAAGACATAAATCATAGAATTAGAGAAAGAAACATCAAGAACCTGTAAATGTGAAACTTGAACTTTGAAGAAGTGGAGAAAGATTACTGATTGTTTAAACTTTGGTATTGGAAAAGACTCTTGAGAATACTATGGACCATAAAACAAATCAATCCAGAGTGGCCACTTGAGACAGAAATGACCAGACTCATATTTTGGACACATTATATAAAAACTTTGAGTTGTCTATAATGCTGGGAAAGGTAGAAAGAAAAAAAAGAGGACAACTAATAGCAAGTTATATGGACTTGATTACAGTGGAAATGGGTGCACTGCTGGGAGATCTGAAGGGTCAAGTTGGAGACAGATCACCTTGGAGAAGATTTATATGATCAGTAAGAGTCAACACATATATGTGCTCGTGTACTTTTTTAATATTTTGTATGTGTATGTATCTGTACTTTTTTACATTTTGCTATATCAGCAATGAAATAAAGATTTTTCTAAGAATTCAGTGTTGGTAATCTATCTTTTAATATCCCCCCATACCCTATTATCCATGTAGATATAATCCCCTCCTTCTCTCACATATATTCTGTAGAACCTTAAGCAGTTGCATTTCAGAAATGCTTTTTTATAAGCTTTCATTAACACATTTAGTGTTTGCTTCTGTTATGCTTTGCTATAGTATTTTGGTATTGCCATGTTTTCCATATAATAAGAATTTGATGTGCTTCCTGAATAAAGCTGAGGACTAAAAATACTGTAACCCTTTTCACAGGAACATCTACCTTTATAGAAGCCTTGGCAACCAATGGTACCAACATTCAGACATCAGTAACAGGAGTAGCAGCCAATAAACGAAGATTTATTGATGAAAGGAGAGATCAGCCTTTTGATAAAAGACTACGATTCAGTGTGCGGCAAACTGAAAGTGCTTACCGCTACAGAGACATTGTTGTCAGAAAACAAGATGGATTCACGCATATTTTATTATCCACCAAATCATCAGAGAACAATTCATTAAATCCAGAGGTTAGAGTTGTTTCATTGCTTTTGATTTTTTAACTGGGAGGGTGGGATTCCTGCTATCTCAGAAATTCACAACCACCTGTGCCCTAGTCACTTCCAGATTGGATTACTGTAATGTGCTCTACATGGGGCTGTTCTTGAAGAGTATTCAGAAGTTTCAACTAGGGCAACATGTTACACCTCTGCTCTGTGGGTTGCACTGATTGCCAGTTTGCTTCAAGGTCAATACAAGATGTTGGTTTTAATCTTTAAAATCCTTCATGGCATGGAGATCGCCTCTCCTTGATTACATCTGCCCAACCCATTAGATCTGCCAGAAAAGGTATGCTTAAGGTTTCATCTGCTAGAGCAGACATGTCAAACACAAGGCCCGGGGGCCGGATGAGGCCCACAAAGTGGTTTCATGTGGCCCGCGAAGCCATCCTGGAAACAGTGAGGGAACGGCCCCCGCTGCCTCGGCCCTGGCCCAGGCCAGCCGGGAACCAATGTATAATTTTGTGGTGGCCATCTTGGCGCTTGCCCCAGTGGACCATGCCTTGGCATTTGCCCTGGTCCCACCCCCTTCTGCCAGAGACCCTCAGATCTGTCCCACTCCTGCCCAGGCCCCCATAGGCCCCCTTGACACGAATGATGTAGAACTGGCCACGCCCACCCAGTAGGCCACACCCACTCCATCCATGCCCACCCAGTAGGCTGCACCCACTCTGGCCACACACACCCAGCCCCCCCCCAGGGCAACCGCAATGCTGATGTGGCCCTCAGTGAAATTGAGTTTGACACCCCTGTGCTAGGCCTTCTCTGCTGTGGCATCTCCTTATGGAACATTCTCCTCCCCAAAGTAAAGTTAGTTTTTCATCTGTTATTAGTCCCTCAAGACCTAGTTATGTCTTCAGGCTTGGGGTTCCAGAGGAACAATGATATTCTAAGATGGCTCTGTTATTGGGATTTATATTTATTCTCTCCTATGCTTGGTGGTTTACATATTTTTAATAATGAGTGTTCTATATTTTTAATAATAATTGTTTTATGTATTTATTGTTTTACTTGGTTGTATGCCACCGAGTGTCACTTTTTGTCAGTGGCCATATATTGATAAATAAATAGTGTAAAAATTAAAAGTTAAGCAGCACATCAATGGCAAAACATTAGTAAATTAGTAAATGCAGGTGAAGAGTTTAATGTTTGAGATAAGGATACAGAGGCATTTTCAGGAAAATTAGAATGATAGGGAGAGCTCAAAGATGCCTCATTGGTAGAACATGTTTCTTACAAAAAAAGTCCAGGCTTTCCATTTTTTTAAAATTTTCAGAGGGCCCTTAAGGAACAAAAGGTAAAGGGGTCCCTGTGGATTTTCCTCCATTAGTCATTGCCAACTATAGGGGATAGTGCTCATCTCCGTTTCAAGGCCATTGAGCCAGCGCTGTCTGAAGACATTTCTACGGTCATGTGGACAGCGTGACATCACAGAGCTCTGTTACCTTCCCACTATAATCGTACCTATTTATCTACACACATTTGGATGCTTTTGAACTGCTGGGGCAAGGACGGGAGCTCATCCTGTCACTTGGCGCTCGGGTCTCAAACCTGGGCTGCCAGCTTTCCAGACAACAAGCCCAGCATCTTAACCGCTGAGCCACTGCGCCACCCCTCCTTAAGAAATAAGTCTGCCTGAAACAGCATAAGTCACTGTCAATCCATTTCACCACTGCAAGTCATAAATTGGGAAATTATAAATTAAAACAAGTTATGAATTGTGCCACCGTATTATACTAGTAGTATTACACTGATATACTACTAGCAATCATATTAATTTCCATACCTAAAGTTCTATATATTTAAACATTTGGGTTAATGGAAATTAAAAGCTATTTGACAAGGATGTAAATATGAAGCTTCAACTTACCTTAAGTGATTTACTGATTTGCCTGTGTACCATTTTTCTGTATTTTGTATCTATAAATGACCTTATTTGTTAATTAAGATTTTCTGTCTAATTTTTCAGTGAATTTAGATATTCATAAACTTCAGGCTTATCCCTTGGGAATAAATACTGCTGAGCTTGGTAAAATTTAACACAACGCAAGTTAATATTGGTAATGCTTACATTTTAAAAACCTTTGTCCATTGTTGTCTGTCTTTTTTTTGGGGGGGGGGGAAGGACTTTTAGACTTGTCCTAAATTTAGATGTCGTGAATTGGTTACATATGCCACCTGCTGTTCATATTACAGAAATACTTGGTAAATGAAAAGCTTTTCAGAAGCAATATTCTATATCGTTTTTCCCCCCATGTGTTTCATGTATCACATTCCAGGTGATGAAAGAAGTCCAGAGTGCACTGAATACAGCAGCCGTTGATGACAGTAAACTTGTACTTCTTAGTGCAGTTGGCAGTGTTTTCTGTTGTGGCCTTGATTTCATTTATTTTATTCGACGTTTGACAGATGATAGAAAAAGGGAAAGTACTAAGATGGCAGATGCAATCAGGTTTGTAAAATTATTCTATTTGTGCTTAACCAAATCATGAGCTAAAACAGCTATTTGTGAAACCAAAACTGTTATTCCCAATTGTACTTGGATTTTTTTCCTCAGTCAGTAAATGGATTTAAATCAGAATATTTACCATTTTAGAGATATTGTAAAAGTGTCTACTTTCAAACTGGGAAGAGTTAAGCATGGTTAAACATGTTTCCAAGGCAGTTTTTATATTCGGAAGAATCTTATTGAATAGATGTAATTTTTACCTTTCATAAAAGTCTCATATTATGGGAAACCAGATTATCCAGAAAGGTTATTCAGACTAGATATTTGGAAATTATATGTTGAGAGAGTCTATGTGTATGGACCCTCCAACTCACAGAATGAGAGTTTAATTTTCTGCTTCCCAACCTCCCTGTTTCACTGAAAAGGAAATTTATTTATTATTAATACCAAATGTGAGAAGCATTGTTAAGAAATGACTCTATAAAAACTAAATCTTAATATCTAAAACAAAAATCAATGTTGAAGAGAAAAAAAATGAAATGTTTAACAATATATTATTCTCCAGCACAGGAGATGGAGAATCCACCAATGGGTTTTCTCTGTCTGCCTGCTCTTGAGTCCAAGTTAGCCAAACTTGACACGCCCCCTGTTGCTAGGAGACCCAGTCTTGACTTGGTCTCAAGCTCTTGAAGACTGAAGACGTGTCAGGTTTGGCTCTCAGGTTTTAGAGATCTTCAATTCAATTAGCAGGTCAGAGATCCATTGTTGAATTCTCCTTGCCTTAATTTTGGTACTTGTACATTTTTTGTTTTGTTTTTTTAAGTGTGTAATATGAAAAACTACAAGTCAGTTGCTTTATTTCTTATTATTTATCCTCAGTATTTAAAAAAAACATATTTTAGCAAACTATGTATTTTGTTCTTGAGGTAAAGTTCATTTTATAGCTGTAGTGTTTTTTATTTTCAAAAATATATTTTATATGTATTTATCAAATTGTTTTGAGCATCCTAGCAAAATATAGATAAGCCCTTGACTTACGACTACAGTTGAGCCCAAAATTTATGTTAGCAAGTGAGAGTTGTTAAGTGAGCTTTGCCCCATTTTTTACAACCATTTTTGCCATAGTTGTTAAGTGAATCACTGCATTGTTAAATTAGTAACACAGTTGTTAAGTGAATCTGGCTTCCTCATTGACTTTGCTTGTCAGGAGGTTGCAAAAGCTGATCACATGATCCTGGAACAAGAGAACTGTCATAAGTATGAATCAATTGCCAAGCATCTGAATTTTGAACACAAGACCATGAGGATGCTACAACAGTCCTAAGTGTGAAAAACACTCATAGGTCACTTTTTCAGTGCCGTTGTAACTTTGAATGGTCACTTAAATGAACTGTTGTAAGTTGAGAAATACCTGTAATAGAAATGTTCTAATAATTTTTTTAAAAACTACTTGAAGGCAAACACTGGTTACAAATAACTTGTGCTACTACGTTCACTTTCTCCTTTAGAGATTGATAATTAAATTTGATGCCCTCCCTCCATTTCACCTCCAATAAAATAGTGCTGTTACCAGTTCTTGTTTTATACTTTAATAGGAAAATGTGGTTGTGCCTGTCACATTTTCAAAAAAGTCTTTATAAACAGTAAGTACTGGAATAGTTACAATTTTGAAATAGATTTCACTAAAGTATATTGCTGCTAAAATGTGAGCTGTAACCATGTTCTTACTTTATTTCAGGAATTTTGTAAATACTTTTATTCAGTTTAAAAAGCCCATAATTGTTGCAGTAAATGGCCCAGCTATTGGACTTGGAGCATCTATATTACCACTATGTGATGTGGTATGGGCTAATGAGAAGGCTTGGTTTCAGACTCCATATACAACATTTGGGCAAAGTCCTGATGGATGTTCATCTCTCACATTCCCAAGAATAATGGGTCTGGCATCTGTAAGTAATCTGTAAAATACAGGTAATCCCCCAGGTACGAACATTCATGTAGCGAGTTTTCACAGAAACGAATTTATTCAGAAAGGTTACTTACATTAGAAATTCAAAATTGTGACCAAAAAGAGGCCTCTGTAGCCATGTGACTTGGATTCAGTCACTGCTACAAGCGGCGGCCATTTTAACTCTGTGACTTGTCTGTGCTGTTCAGGTTACGAATGTAGTTTCCTGAAGCTGGAAGAGGTGTGGGTTTTGTTTTTGTTTTTTTGTTTATCCCTGGTCACATGGCCAAACAAGAGCCAATGATTTTTGCAGCTGGAGCCTCCTGGGCTTCAGGACTGGAGTGCTAGAATTGCTTCTGTGAGTGTTTTAAAATATTTTTTTGTTGTTACTCTATAATGCTTGCAAACTGTTTGCAAGCACCACTTTGGAAACTGCTCTTCTTTTTAAGTACTGTACTTTGCAAACTATTGTGTTTGTAAGTACAATACTTTGCAAAGATAAAGTTTGTTCCGCATTTTCCTGGAAAGTGTAGAAATGCTAGCCAGCATCTACACAAAGCATTCTATAACCCTTGTGTTTCCTTGCTTTTATTTTGGAGATTAGCATATATTACTGGAGTTTGTAGGTTTTAAATTTAAATTGCCTTCAGAAATTGTGGGGGGCCCATCACTAAAAGCTTTTAAGAAGAGACTGGAGAGGCAATTATCAGAAATACTCTCTTGAGAGAGCAGTGGATTAGACTAGATGACCTCAAGGTCCCTTCCATCTCTGTTACTGTCTGCAGTTCTGTAAAGCCCTCCCCCATCTCCCTCTGGGTGCTTGGCTTGAGATTCTTAAGCTAATTAGTGGCAAGTGGTGTTTTTTTTTTTTTTTTTAAAAAGCAGACTAGCAACAAATGGGTTTTTTAAAAATAAATAAATAAAAAGCAGTTGCAAATGGAGAGCTCTGCAGCCTGCTTGGAGGCAATTTAGTTCCTGTGTCGAAGGATGCACCGGAAACAGTTGATGGTCGGCCGGCAGCAGCGCGGAAAGCCTCTCAGTTCAGGCAGCGATGAATGAATAAATCGGAGGAAATAGTCAGTTCTTCATTCATTTAATGGCCCATTTGATTCAGTTAATGAATTTGATTTTAAAAATTTGTAAAATTGAGTCTGATTCATTTGACAATTTTACTTATGAACCTAATGAGCAGACTCCATTAGGTTCGTACCTCGAGGACTACCTGTAAATATATATGCTATTTATTTATAACATTTGATGTGCCTATAGTTTTTAGTATAATTGAGTTGACATAACTATATATTTTTTTTATTGCATGTACCCCTCCAAAATGTCACATTTTGACTCATCCCGTATAAGGAAAATATTTTGGAATAAACCAGTAATTTTTCAGGATGAAAAGATTTCTGGCTCCTAAAATATAGCCATGTGCTTTTGTGCTGTTGGATTTTTGCATATTCACTTCTTTTTACTTACATTCTACCTTCTAAAGCAGCGGTTCTCAACCTATGGGTTGCGACCCCATTTGGGGTCGATCGACCATTTCACGGGGGTCGCCAAGCAAGGCTGTCCGCCATTTTTTTTCCCTTTTCCGGCGGGTGCCTTACCTCCCTTGAGCTGGGCCAGCTGATGGTCGGCCTGCTCCATCTCTGCTGCTTGCCAGCTACGCCTCGGGCAGCGCAGGGGGCGGAACCACGCATGTGCGGCGCTCCCGGGCAGGGAAAGTCCTCAACTTACGACCGGTTGGGTAGTCCTCGACTTACGGCCGATTTAGTCCTCGACTTACGACCGATTTAGTCCTCGACTTACGACCGATTGGGGGTTGCGGCATTAAAAAGGTTGAGAACCACTGTTCTAAAGTAAGCTAAGAGCTATTTTTATAAGGCTGAAGAGATGCTGGATTTAATTTGAAAAAGATGCTTCAGGACATGGGGGAGCATAAAAATACAAAAAATAAAAAACTTACATTAAAGCAGTCAAGCCTTTTTCTGGAGTCAGTTGAGATAAAATCAAGAAGGCAGTTGGGTATCCAATGAGAAGCAAATCATAGGTTTTTCAAATGCATCTGTGCAAGCTGAGCTTAAAATATATCATTTGTATGAAAGGTTTCCTAGTGTTTCAGATTGTATAAATGATTATAAACTATCTGAAGCTGGAATTAAGTCTTGTGGACTGATAGTCTAATAGTCTAATCTGCTTAGCCTACCATGTGTTGCTTCCTATTAATGAGGCAGTTGTTTTTCATGGTTACTTCAGAAGCTGTATAACCGTAGAGGAACCAGTAATGGACATTTCTGATTATAAGCATGCATAGTGAAAAAATTGGAAAATTTCAATATATTTGAAAGTATATTGAAAATATATTACACAGATTCTATTGTACTAAGAAATGTAAAAAAAATTTCTCTTAGAAAATATAGCGGAATAAAAATCTACAGAGCATGATTAATAAAGTACATAAAAAGTATGGCCTTTGATAAGCGTTCCCCCTCCCCTTTTCTCCTTTTTCTACATTTTTTTGGTATAGAAGAATCAATAGGTACCCTGTATTCAATAGGGGTGAAAATAGGTACCTGAAGCTCTGTAGAGGCTTTGTATCAATTTTTATACTTTAAAAACACTGGAACACCCCTCAATGTAATTAGTGAATTGAAATGGGTCATAAACGAACACTTGCACAAGCTATTTAAATTCATCAATATAAGAAATGGCTTGAAAATTGGCAAGGGAGAGAATTGTTTAGTTCTGAGGAAAAGATGCAGATTTATGCACATTTATTAACCTTATTCCTAAAGGTGTATAAAATAGATAACCTTTTTTTGTACAGGTGAGCTACAACACAGAGTCAAATAGCTTCCTGGTTTATCTTTTGGATTCTCATGTATTCAACTCCCATTGGAACAAAGGGATTGTAGACCCTAGACCAGTGATGGCGAATCTTTTAGAGACCAAGTGCCCAAAAACCACCCCCCGCCTCCCACCCTGTCTGCTCTGCCCCGCTCGCCCACAGGGCCACGCACCGCCTCCATGGCACGCTGCAGCAGATTTCCCAGGCAGCCCTGCAGCGCCATGGCATGCTATGGAGCATGAGAGCAGAGTCTTGTCCCTGCTGCCCGGCTATGTCCTTGGCTGGGCTGCTCCGTGTGGGCTGTGCCCGGGGGCGACTCTGCTCCAGGGGGACTGCTGGTGAGGGGGCCGTGGGGGGAGGTGGGGCTGGGGCGACAGCATGTGTGCCCACAGAGAGGGCTCCGAGTGCCGCCTCTGGCACGCGTGCCATAGGTTCGCCACCACTGCCCTAGACCTTGCATAACTATTTTGTTTTATTTTATTATTTTCCATCTAAAAATAATAAGGAATTTTATTAATATTTTTGAGATATTTCGGGGGATGGCAGTTCAAAGTTGAGAGAGAGAGACCCCAAAGGTCACAAAAATGACTGATAGAACTTACAAGTGGTCTGCAGGTTGTTTGCCATAGCTTGATTTCATAATCTGTTTCCCTTAACAAAGTTTCTCTATGGTAACTCTGTCAACTTCCTTTGAGCTATTATCATGCTTCAGCAATCAGTTCAAGTTGTTGACTTTAGAACTAATGATATCTTTTGCAATGGTTTGTTCTAGTTTTTGCTTTTCTTCTAATATTAACTAGATTTTTTTCCTTAAAGAAAAAGGATCTAGATGTAAGGATCTAGATTCCATATTTTGGCAATAAATAGATTTTTTTTTAAAATCACTCAATTTTAAATTAGATGAATAATCATTGGCAATTCTTTATGTAAATGATCAGACTACAATGCATGTCTTGGATCATAAATACTTTGAAACTCTTATGTAGGGCTAGAAGTTGACACTGAATTATTGTGTTGCTTTCAATATTTGCTTTATTTCAATTCAGCACACAAACAAAAAGTAACGTAATCTAGTTAATTGTTCCAAGTAAGGAGCATTTTTTATAAGCCACAGTGTTTATATTTAGAAATTTTTTATACTTTGTTATAACTTAACAAATAATTTCTATCTTTCTCAGGCAAATGAAATGTTATTTAGTGGAAGGAAGCTAACAGCACAAGAAGCATGTTCAAAAGGACTGGTGTCTCAAGTATTTTGGCCAGGAACATTCACACAGGAAGTTATGGTTCGAATTAAGGAACTTGTCACATGTAATTCAGTTGTAAGTTGCTTGCTTCTTTCAATAAAAGTTTAATACTCAGACTGTTATAATGATTAAGTATCCGTTCACAGAGTAAATTTAGTCTAAAACCATTTTGATCTGGCCCTCCAATATTCTGGGAAGGATTTTCACTATTCAGAACATACATGGGCAGATAGGGTTTCCACCAACTATTCCAGTTAACTTTGAACCCAAAAGCTGCCATTTTATTGCCTCTTCTTTTAAAAAGGCACTCAACTGCAGGTTGTAATATTTGACAGAGAGAAGGAAATGACGTGTGGATGAATTCTGCAAATAGGTTCCCAATATCCAACAGTGCATCATCAGTAGCTATAATGCAACTATTGTGTAATGCATAAATCCAGTAAAACAAATTTTAAGTGTTTATGGTAAGAATGCACTATAAAAATTCAGTTGTCTTGACTGTACTGGTATAAATATCTGGTCCAAAACTATGGAAGGAAAAAGGCGTGAAAACCATCTCTTGACTTTTTACCTGAACAGCTTAGTTCCAGTGAGGGGATTCAGCCAGTTCGCACCACTTTGGCAGAACTTGTAGCTAATTTTTTGTTGCCCAGGTCCAGAATGGACTTCTGGAAGCGGCATCCACACAGAGAACCGGTTGTTCACATATTTGAATCCCACCATTGCTTAGTTCCATCACATTTCTCTGTTTAATTTAGAATTTCTTACTGTATAATAACTTACTTACAAAATAAAAACATGTCTGCATTTAATTATCTGCTAATGCAGAATGTAAGGTTTATAATATGCTGAACTCCCACCACCATTACAAAATAATTTGTTGCTGCTGCATTAGATATGATAAGATCATACACCTGCATTCTAGTGGTCATCCTGAGTGGGGGCAGTATACATTTTGCAATCCATTAAAAGTACTTCAAGTGTGCTTTCAACTGTATTCTTCTAATCTATTTGGATGGCATTCTGGAATAGTTCCACAGTGTAGGATGAGATTTGCAATGGAGTGTGGATTGCAACTTGCTGTTTAGCATCTAGTCTTGATTTAGTACATATTATTATTAGCAAAAGATGCTTATATAACCAAACCAGATTTTTTTAGATTTAGATTTTTTAGATTTTATTAAATTTATACCCCGCCCTTCTCCCGGAGGACTCAGGGCGGCTTACAGCCAGTTTAAAACAGTAATACAATACAAAATTTAAAAAGATTAAAAATAAATATTTAAATTTGGCCGCTTCTACTAAAAATTTAATTTAAAACCCCTTTAAAATACCCCTAGGCCAGTCCTGCCNTCCAGAGGGTGGGTGCTCCGACAGAGAAGGCTCTCCCCCTGGGGGTCGCCAGCCGACACTGTCTGGCTGACGGCACCCTGAGGAGGCCCTCTCTGTGGGAGCGTATCGGCCGGTGGGAGGCAATCTGTGGCAGAAGGCGGTCTCGGAGGTAACCAGGTCCAATGCCATGGTGCGCTTTGAAGATGATAATCAACACCTTAAAGCGCACCCGGAAGGCCACAGGCAGCCAGTGCAGCTCGCGCAGCAGCGGCGTTACATGGGAGCGACGAGTCGCTCCCATCACCGCCCGCGCGGCCGCATTCTGGACCAACTGGAGCCTCCGAGTGCTCCTCAAGGGGAGCCCCATGTAGAGAGCATTACAGTAGTCCAGGCGGGAGGTGACAAGAGCATGGGTGAGACAGCTGGGTAGCTTCAATGAAGAATGAAAGATACTAGCTTCCACACTGCAGCTGTCTTGTTGTCACCCCAGCCTTAATTACAGTTGGGGATGTTAATGTTTCTTCACTAAGTTTTCTTGCAGCAATTAAAACCCACTTGCATGTCTTCTGTGCATGCACATACCCATTTTTAGCACAGCATCTAAGTTAATTGCAGTCCCACCACAGCCTGCTAGAGGGATTGAGGCAGTTAGTCTTTCTGAGATAATATTTGCACTTTACTGTCTGTGCTTTGCGGTTTTAAAATGCTAATTTAGGAAAATTTAAAAGTCAACTGTATTCTAAACTGAATATATACTACTTATACATTAAATGCTTGCTCACTTTTACCCTTAACAGTCCTTTCCACATTTATCTGTAATCAAAGAAGTTGTGTAATAGAGCAGTGATATGGGGGAATGAACATGCAATCAAACCACAAGGGAGAGCAACATGTTGAAATAGCACTTCAGATGTGCAAAGAGTGCGACTGTACATCAGAATTCAGATGAGAGGATTCCTCCAGGATCTCTTCAAGTAGCAACAGAATGCCTTTTGCAGACATGTGGTTGTTTCGGAAAATTGTTGAACAAAATAATGTTCTGGAACACTTCATGCTGCCCTAAATCAGTGAGATTCTGTTGACATTTCTTTCACATTTAGTAAAACAAAGCTAAAATAAATTTATTCTATATTGATGTGTCCTACATGTATTTCTAGTTGTTTTGCTATTTCATTAGCCCAAATCAGTTGAACTGAAACATTTGATAAGGGAAGAAAAATTGAGTAAAGGGTACTAATAGGAAAATCCTATTTCATGCAGCAAATCAGTTTGAAATATATTCAAAAACCTGCCTGCGCACGTGAAAGAGAGGAAACAGACTTTTTCATTTGCCTTTTTTTAATCCTTGGGTTTATATTCTCTTTCCCTTGAAACCCAAGGAAAAGATTTGATTTGTGCAAATTCCAAGTCTACTACCAGTTTGGTGACTTTCCGGGGGCAGAGAGGCTGTTGAGTGAGAGCAGCCATTGGATTTCTGACTGCTTTCTACATGTCTTCCGTTCCTTCCTTTCTCCGGGTGGGGAATCCTTTTTTTATATGAAAAGGGCAGACTAGAGGAAAGATAGCCTCAGAGATTATTGGATTGGCTTAACATTTAATCTGTAGAGTTTTATTTGTGAAATTGCCAATGAAAGTCCCTGAAAAGTGTTAATTTTAGCATGCCTGAACAGCTGTGCATATAAACATAAATCATTTCAAAGTAGAGTCACCCTGTCAGTTAGTGTCACTTTGACTTTTATTTGACGAGCATTCTTTCCATTCCAATTGCCCAATTCATTTCATACTATGCATTCATATTGTTGCCAACTGTATGAAGGAAAGAGTTTATAATGTAGACCAGGGGTGTCAAACTGCCGTCCTACAGGCCAGACGCGTCACACAGAAGCCGTGCCCACCCCACTGCTGGCAATGGCAAAAATGTCCCGATATGTTGCGCGACGTCACGTGATGTGGCGAGTTTGACATGTCTGATGTAGACTTTTTCTGCCAAAATAAGGTTGGGGGGGGGGTTTGTTGTTAATCTATTACTGCTAGTGCTAATTTTAATGCAAAACTATTTTTATGCAAATTAAACTCACGGAAGAACGTCAAAAATGTAGCATGGAAAAATAAATCATTGCTGAAGGGAAGGCGAAATTTTCTTAAAAGTTGATGGTCCCTGTGTTTCTTTTTCCTTTTTTGTCTGTTTTTCCTTTCTTGGCGGTTCAGACAGCCTATATTTTCAAAAGTGTTCTCTGTTTATCAAAGTGCTTGGCAAAAGAGTATTTGTTGGCCTTTCCCTGATTCTCCAGAGTTCCAGCAGGTGAATGTAGAGACTTCATTCTCTAATCTGGACCACAAATAGAGACGGAAGAATTCCTCTCCTGGCTCTACAATTGTGGTCATTAGCACTCACCTATGTCTATATGCATGGTATTCAATTATTTTTATTAATAACATGGAGAAAGAAATTAAGGGAATGCTAATCAGTTTTGTAGATGATACAAATAAGATAACTAATATCATAAAAGGCAAAGATAAATTCAGAATGGGCCAAAAGAAATGCAGTAGTCTTTTACAGCAGGGGTCCCCAACCCCCGGTCCGTGGACCAGTACTGGGACGTGGCATGCCAGCAACCGGTCTGCACAAACAAGCAAAGCCCCATCCACAGGATGCAGGCAGCACACAAAACCACGCCCCTGCCCCCCGTCCGCGGAAAAACCTCTCCACGGAACCGGTCCCTGGTGCCCAAAAGGTTGGGGACCTCTGTTTTACAGAAACAAATGCAATATTATTAATTTAGCAAACAAAAATTCTTATCTCAGGAATGGAACTTTTGAAAAGAAAATTGTAATGAAAATTAATTGCAGAGAGAGACAGTTTAATTTAGGCAGTAGCTTAAAAACTGGGAGACTGTGACTTCTGCTCCCAACTTAAGTACTTTTTCTCAGTTCTAGGAAGGAGGCAACGGCAAACCTCTTCCAAAAAACCTTGCCAAGTTGCCAGGATTCAACACTTGAGTCAAAGGCACCCCCGTCCCCAAAAAGTTAATTCCAAACTGAGTATCTATTGCTTTTGATGATTTTTTTAAATTCTACTCTTTTAGATAAACAGCTCTTGATAGATTTCAAATGTACAAGTATTTAGACATGCAAAGTATTCCAGTTTTCAGGTCTATGATTCAATTATTGGCTTGAATCTTTTCCCAGACCGAAGGATAGATTGGAAATACACTGTTCAGTTTTTAATTTGGTACTTCTCTGAATTTGCAATTCAGTTCCTAGATCAGCAGAAACAAAAAGTATAAAATGCAATGTTGAAGGCAAAATAACTTTAGAAATCCATATTTTAATAAATACAGTACATTCAGACATTTATGTTGCTAAAATAAACGTTTTGAAACATTTTAAATATTTTGTGACCTTTTAAAGAAGGCATTGATGCAGAGTTAGGATAGAGTAGATATAACTGATAAGATATAACCGACAAAATATAAGTACACTGATTTTTCATTCATATGTGAAATGCCTACTCTGTTATATACCTTCTTAGAGAGGAGTGGCTGCCACTGATTCCTATTAGGAAAAGTGAATGGCTTATTTTTAAAAGAGAAAGAAGAATTGTGTTCAAGCTGTGATTCTCCTGTGATTATCTGCCATCCATAGTAAAGCAGAGCACTTACAGCAACAGTCTCCATTCACATGCTTACTCTCTGACCACTATTTGTGAATAACACATGTGTTGAATATTAAATAATACCATGCCTGTGCTTTCTTTGTTTTTAAATTCAATGTAGGTACTTGAAGAATCCAAAGGTTTAGTTCGTAGTATTATGAAGATGGACTTGGAACAAGCCAATGATAAGGAGTGTGAAGTTTTAAAGAAAATTTGGGGTTCTGCTCAAGGGATGGACTCAATGTTAAAATACTTACAGAAGAAGATTGATGAATTTTGAAGAGATGTGCATTGACACTGGATTGTATTTACTTGGGCATCTGGATTTCATCAATACCCTAACTGAAAGTAAAATAAAACATACCTAAGGCTCAGAAAATGTGGGCTAAAAGGTAGAGGAACATGGTTTTATGGTCAAGGGTTTTTAAAAGAAGTACTGTATGTTAAGCATTGAACAATTTTTTTTCTTTTTTCCACACACACACACACACACATATAAATATATATAAATATATATATATATATATATTATATTTCTTTATATACACAAACTAAAATATATAATGGAGTGCACTACCAAACTTTTGTCTTCTACTTTGTTATCATTGGCTAGTACTGTATCAGAAGAAAATGGTGAATAAAATGAGATGTTGCATTATTTTGTATGTGGCAGGAAAGTCCTGAAGCAATGACTATTTTTTCACTAGAGTCCAGAGTTAAAACGGGTATTGGCCGGCCCTTACTTTCACTGCCCAAAAAGTCAGTTAAGAAGAGGCATTGCCTTGAATTTTGAGAAAGGTTTAAAAATACCTCAAATAATGATGTGTTCTAAAAAAAAAAAATATTTTTTAAGAAAAAAAAATACCCTATATAGAAAATGCCCCTCCTCCCCCAGATACCCAAGTGTGCTCAGGATTTATTCTATACAAACACTCAGCCCTTCATGTTTTGGGGAACATGCCCCATTCTGACCCAGATAGCATGAAGATGCCAGTTTCTTGTAAAAAAAAAAAAAGTTTTGTTTTGCAGTATTAGTGAATCACTGAAATACCATATATATTATGGATTAAATAATAGTTTAGTCTTAGTGGTTTTATAAAAAGTTAGGGTTTTTTAATTATTTTACTACATAATTGCTTCGATTGCTGGGTGAAAAAAACTATATACATTGTTTTGTTCTGTTTGCTTGTTTAAAGAAATACACCAAAAATATATATATTATGTTCATCTTTAGCCTCCTGTAGAATATATTTTATTTAATAAGTTAAAATTTGTGTGGCACACTATTAATTATTCCTTTTTCATGCTATCTTATCTTAGCTGTCTGTTGTCTTTTGTCAATGCTTTTAATCTTAATTTTACACTATGACCCTGATCCAGAGAACTCTCCGTGCAGCAACAGGCTCTAGGCATTTTGCAAGGCATTGGATGAGGTTCCCCTCCAGAGAACAGGAATAGTGCTTTTAATTGAAGTGGGTACGTAGAGGTATTGCTTTTCTATTTGGCAGGCTATATTGATGCAGGATTACTATCCGTGGCCTCCCAACCCTACATCAAGTGTTGGAGGCAGCCCCTCCATTTTCCATCAAACACACACAGTGCCCTTTTCTGCATATGGGACTGCATCCAGAAGGGCAATGTGCTGGTGAAATTCTGTTTTCATGCCTTTTCTGGATCAGGGTGCATAATAGACAGTCTGGTATACAAGGGTGCCCTGTGTAAATAGACCTATTTTGCATTCCTGTTGGGAGTGTATGATGATTCCTACTCCAGATATCTACTAGGATTTAGATATCTATACTTGCAATCTTACTGAATGTATGAAGAATGGGGGAAATTTAAACCTTATTTTTGTACAGTTTGAAACTTTATACTTGGAGCCTGACCACCTCATCCTAGCAGAAAGATGTACAGTGTGTAAATCTGCTTTTCCTTGGGTTGGTACAGTATTTTTGCATCTGTGGGACCTAATTTTTGTTGTTCTAGTAGTTTGAACTATATATAAACTGTACAATCTGTAAAGTTTTTATAGAATAAATATTCAGCTGTGAACCTGTTAAAATAAAACTAATATTTCTTAACACCTCTTAAAAGTGCTGCAAAGTGTTGTCCTTATTCTCCATTCAGTGTTCTTTCATCTTTCCCCAGGAAATGCATTTTTATAGCTTTGAGGTCTTTTTTGAACTGTGGTCTGAAGTAATTCTTGTAAATTTTAATATTTTTCCCAGACTGTATGTCTTAATTTCCTGTTTTGCAGCAAAAGCAACTTTTAAAAGGAATATAGAAAACTCACTGGATTAATTCTTAAGTTTGGTTACTCTACCTCTTAGATTCTGGAATGCAGGTACAAAAGTATAAACACTTTCCCTTGGTGTCATGTGGAGACATCAGTCTCTACTGTAACCTTACTTGTGCTGTCTCTAAAACCAGGGTAAAAAAACAGAATAATATGATTCAATTTCCAGAGGACTAATCTCTTCACATCTGAACAACTGCAGTGCGTTTGCAGAAAAAGGCTCAAATTACTACTGTATGTTGCTTTTTTAAAAAATTGGCTTAAGACAAAAGTCCTACATACTTATTTTAATCAACCACCTTGTTTTTGCTGCCTTGTGTAATTCTCCATTATGATCTATAGTCAACCTATTATTTTCACAATGAGTTGTACAAACCATGTATGTGCCTCTTCAGTGGTGTGAAGATGGTCACACAACAGCCTTCATTTCCCTGCTGCGCCTCAAAATTTGTGGGCTTGAGCAAGATGATATTGAAGAGTTCCTGGCATTGTGTATATCTTTCACATATATATATTCATAATAGATACTTCATATATTCTACAGTGAGGGGGAAAAGTATTTGATCCCCTGCTGATTTTGTACATTTGCCCACTGACAAAGAAATGATCAGTCTATAATTTTAATGGTAGGTTTAACAGTGAGAGACAGAATAATAACAAAAAAAATATCCAGAAAAACACATTTCAAAAAAGTTATAAATTGATTTGCATTTTAATGAGTGAAATAAGTATTTGACCCCTTCGCAAAACATGACTTAGTACTTGGTGGCAAAACCATTGTTGGCAATCACAGAGGTCAGACGTTTCTTGTAGTTGGCCACCAGGTTTGCACACGTCTCAGGAGGGACTTTGTCCCACTCCTCTGCAGATCCTCTCCAAGTCATTAAGGTTTCGAGGCTGACATTTGGCAGCTCGAACCTTCAGCTCCCTCCACAAATTTTCTATGGGATTAAGGTCTGGAGACTGGCTAGGCCACTCTAGGACTTTAAAGTGCTTCTTCTTGAGCCACTTCTTTGTTGCCTTGACCGTGTGTTTTGGGTCATTGCCATGCTGGAATACCCATCCACGACCCATTTTTCAATGCCCTGGCTGAGGGAAGGAGGTTCTCATCCACGATTTGACAGTACATGCCTCGTCCATTGTCCCTTTGATGCGGTGAAGTTGTCCTGTCCCCTTAACAGAAAAACACTCCCAAAGCATAATGTTTCCATCTCCATGTTTGACAGTGGAGATGGTGTTCTTGGGGTCATAGGTAGCGTTCCTCCTCCTCCAAACATGGCAAGTTGAGTTGATGCCAAAGAGCTTGATTTTGGTCTTATCTGACCACAATACTTTATACCCAGTTCTCCTCTGAATCATTCAGATGTTCATTGGCAAACTTCAGACGGGCCTGTACCTGTACTTTCTTGAGCAAGGGGACCTTGTGGGCGCTGCAGGATTTCAGTCCTTCACGGCGTAGTGTGTTATCAATTGTTTTCTTGGTGACTATGGTTCCAGCTGCCTTGACATCATTGACAAGATCCTCCTGTGTAGTTCTGTGCTGATTTCTCACTGTTTTCATGATCATTGAAACTCCACGAAGTGAGATCTTGCATAGAGCCCCAAACCGAGGAAGAGTGACAGTTATTTTGGGTTTCTTCCATTAGCGAATAACCACACCAACTGTTGTCACTTCTCACCAAGCTGCTCGGCAATAGTCTTGTAGCCCATTCCAGCCTTGTGGTAGGTCTACAATCTTGTCCCTGACATCCTTAGACAGCTCTTTGGTCTTGGCCATAGAGAGTTTGGAATCTGATTGATTGATTGCTTCTGTAGACAGGTGTCTTTTATGCAGGTAACAAGCTGAGATTAGGAGCTCTCCCTTTAAGAGAATGCTTCTCATCTCCACTCATTGCCTGTATAAAAGACACCTGGAAGCCAGAAATCTAGCTGAATGATAGGGGATCAAATACTTATTTTACTCATTAAAGTGCAAATCAATTGATAACTTTTTTGAAATGCGTTTTTCTGGATTTTTTTTTTTGTTATTCTGTCTCTTCCTGTTAAAATAAACCTACCATTAAAATTATAGACTGATCATTTCTTCGTCAGTGGGCAAACATACAAAATCAGCAGGGGATCAAATAATTTTTCCTTCATTGTAACTAGTCCATAAATAAACTCTGTGGTGGTGGAAAAAAGGGGGGTATTTTCACATGATAATAAAGAGGTCTGCTTGATTATAAAAACAGAGGAAAGCAACGCATCATTCCTATATAAAAAAAACTTTTATGTATTTCAAGCAATATTCTTAATCATTTTAAGTAGAAAAACAAAGTATTATTTATTTGGAAATTTACAGTGCTTCTTAACCAAAGATATAAAAGTCCCCTTTCAAGTGAAAAATAGGTTGCAGAGAACACAAACATTGCGTCTTGTCCTTGCTCTTAGCAATTTTTTTGTAATAATGTACTAGATAAAATTATTTATGGCCAATAATTAAATGCACTCTGGTTTGGAATCCACCATCACCACCACCCCAAGTTTGGAATAGTCTTAAAAGAACTAGTGGAGCTCAAACTCTTCACCGTTTGGTACACTTGTGGCCTGAACCTTTACAGAACTTTTCAGATGTAAAATGCAGCTGCATCCTCTCGTCACCTGCATGATTGTGCTCTTATGTGACTGTGGCCTTGAATGAAGGCTTTTTCTAGTAGCATTTGTTTGTCCCAAGAATCCCAGCCTTCACAGTCTTATGCAGGTGCTTTGCATCTCTCCAGAGGCTCTCAGTCTACTCTACAGCAAGGCATTTTGTGGGAGGTAATTCTTGAGGCTTCTAAAGCTCAAAGAGTCAAACAATACAGCATCCCCAGAGAATGCAGTCATCTACTTAAATCTTCATTTACTTTTTAAGAGGTACAGCTCATCTTTTTCTGGATCTAAAGGCAATTGATTTAATGCTCCTTCCCCAATTTTTTCCCACCACAATCCAGCAAGATAGGTTAGGCCAGTGGTGGCGAACCTATGGCACGGGTGCCAGAGGCGGCACTCAGAGCACTCTTTGTGGGCATGTGCGCCGTCGCCCCAGTCTTAGGCCTTCAGCTGGGTTTTATAAAACCTTTTCGCTTTAGGCCTCCGCCTCCGTGTGCAAAAAAAAAAAAGGTTCAATCGATCAGTCAATTTCAACTTCTCGTGGGAAAAAAAAGATCTTGCAAAGTTGGAATTGATTGATTGAACTTTTTAGTCCCACCCAGTCTGCCATTACCACCGCAGCCACGCCCATCCAATGGGCCACACCCAGCCAATGGGCCACGCCCACCCGGCACCTGACGATGCATAAGTGGGTTTTGGGTTGCAGTTTGGGCACTCGGTCTCTAAAAGGTTCGCCATCACTGGGTTAGGCTGAGAGAGTGAGACTGGGTCAGTCACCCAGGAAGCTCCCAGGACTCAGGATGGACGTGAACCTGGGGCGCCTTGATCTTCGTTTAAATCGCTGCATTACAGTAGCCAGTCATTCTCCAGCACTGGAGATGGAGGATCCACCCGTGGGTTGTGACTGTATTCCTGCCCAATCAGATCAAGTCAGCCAAAGTTGTCACGCCCCGTCCTTGGACCTATGCCCAGTCTTGACTTGATCTGCCCAAAGAACAGGACGTACAACTTTGGCTCGTAGGGACTATCTAAATTTAGTGGTTCCTCCATCTTCAGTTNCGTTTGACCAACCTGAGAAAATCCATCCGCCAAGTACGCAAGGGGCAGAAGGTTTCTCTGCTCAGCCTTTCCAGGGTGCTAGGACAGATGATATCGGCCATAGACATAGTACCGTGGGCCAGGCTCCACTCCAGGGAATTGCAGTGGTTCCTACTCCCCTTCCAGAGACAGAATGTCAGTGCTTCTCAGAGAAGGGTGAAGATCCCATCTCGGGCCTCGCTTTCCCTCAATTGGCGGCTGTCCCCAGCTGTCCTCAAAGGGTCGTTGTTCAAGGAGCCGGAGCGGCTCCTCCTCACGACCGATGCCAGCCTCTTTGGATGGGGGGGCGCATCTTCGTTCCCACTGGGCACAGGGTCGTTGGTCTCAATCAGACCTCCGTCACGACATCAACTGGTTGGAACTGAGGGCAGTACATCTAGCTCTCCTTCACTTCCACAGCCAGGTCAGGAGGCGTCATGTACTTGTCCTCACGGACAAAGCTCATATAAACAGGCAGGGGGGCACCCATTCTCGGATCCTCCTGAACGAGGCATCAATATTGGGGACCTGGGCAGAGCGCAACCTAGCGTCCATCAAGGCCGAGCACATCTCGGGGAAGGACAATACCCAGGCAGATGTCTTGAGCAGGGCGACAATAGACCACTCAGAGTGGGGGATTCACCCGAGGGTCTTCAAGGAGATCTGCCATCGATTTGGTCTACCTTCAGTGGACCTGTTCGCCTCACCGACAAACACCCAGCTCCCCCGCTTCTTCTCCCGCTTCCCGGCTCAGGGAACGGAACAGGTAGATGCACTGCGCTCTCCATGGCCTCGGGGTCTGCTGTACGCTTTCCCACCTCTCCCTCTTCTCCCGGCGGTGGTACGCAAACTGCTCAGGGAGGACGCGGAGATTATACTGGTAGCCCCGTATTGGCCGCGGAGACCGTGGTTTGCCGACCTGCTGGGTCTCTCCAAAACAGATCCGTGGCGGATTCCGCCAGACAGGACATCACTATGTCAGGGAGCCATCCTTCATCCGGATCCCCAGTGGCTGCAGCTAGCCGTCTGGCACTTGAGCGCAACTATTTGTCAAGGCAATCTT